ATTATATGGATAGAATGTGTTGTTATTGAAAACTTTAACTCACCTCATCAATAAAATTTAATGACTATTGTAAGCTCATTCTTTATGGGCATTGTTGTGATTTAAAATTAGAACCACTTCTGGTTGGAATCGTCGTGTTCTGCAGTATTTATACGATGGTCAATGGAGGAATTTTGCACACGGCCATGGCTTATCAACTTCTGTAGTCACGAGTCTTTCTTGGTATTGTTTGGGTAAGGTTACAGGTTTGGTTTTTTTTGGCTATTGTTGGATGATAAAAATTATCGCTAGTTCTTTTCTACTCAACGATTTTCGCAGAATTTTATCTTTTAAATAACTTTTATAATAAAACATTTTTAAGTTATACTTTAAATTCAGATATTGTGGCGTTCCACATATTCCCTGCCATATTGATTTTAACTACTTTTTCATAAATCAAGAAATCGGTTATTCTTTTTTTACGTTACTTGGTATAAAACATTTAACTCATTTGACACAACTTTTTGAACGACTTGACAATTATGGCATTAACGTGAAACCTTCAAAATGTATTTTTGGTGTCAATTCTCTCGATTTTTTAGGCCATCATATAACTCCAAAAGGTATTCTTCCTTCTGCGCAACGTATTAAGATCATTGATGATTATTTTATTCCAGCAACGCTGAAAAAACGTTTTTTGGGGATGATAAATTTTTATCATAGATTTATACAAAATTTTTCTCAATTATTACAACCATTACATGCGCTAGCAAATTCTACTCGTGTACTTAAACAAAAAGAATTACTTTCCTTTTCTATTGAGTGCCAAGATTCTTCTTTTCTGCTAAAACGTCCCTTATAAATGCAACTAGTCTTGCTCATCCTTGTAAAGATACTCAATTAACACTAACAACAGATGCTTCTTCTACTTCTATAGGTGCTGTTTTAGAGAAATCTGTAAATAATTTATCACAACTGTTTCTAACTTTACGCGCAATTCTGCTACTTAAAGAAATTGAATTAAATAGTTTTACTTAACCACTTTCTCCAAGTCTCTCGATTTTGGTGGTAGAATAAAACACTGTGAAGACTGGACAACAAAGAGGGTTTATTTTAAGAGGGCATACTTTTATACAGATTTTGGACAAAACAGGTTTACAGAAATATATACAAGGTTATATATACATGTTAACAATAATTATTTATAATATATACAATAAAAGATACAAAAATTACGGAGTGTGACCAAATTAAAAATGTACATGAGATTATGAGTTTTAATTACTCTCCCTTCGCGCGTGTGAGCGCGTTGCTCAAAAATTTGAATTGTCCGCGCGTGTGGCCGCATTCTGAACAACAACCAATTGCATATTTTCCAAAAAAACTTTCGCCTTCACAAACTAGATATTCAACTTTTGATCGTGAATTATTTGCCATTTACGAATCAATAAAATATTTTAGACATTTGCTTGAAGGTTATATTTTCACAATATTTACTGATCATAAACCTATTATTCATTCTTTTTCGTCCAAAACAGAAAAATCTCCCAGACAATCTCGTTATTTAAGGGGGGAAACCACATTAGGAGGCTCATTTTCATTAATTTTTTAGGATTTTTTTTGGGTGGGAAGAATTGAAATAGTGACAAATTTTGACACTATTTTGTTTATATTTCGAACAACTTTTGTGAATTTTTTTGAATAATTTTATAGAAAAATAACAAAGTTATTCACTGATGTCCGCTGGACGTCGTACCTAGAGTTCTCCAATTGCGGGACGTGTAGCCATTTCAATTTTCATCTGATATCGAAAAGCTTTTCATTTTAGGTTAATAACTTATTTTCTAAGAATATGAACCTCAATGCAGGTAAATGTAACGAAAATTAAAAATTTTGCAGGTATTGGAAAAATTTACTTAAAATTTCACTATATTTCACTATAATTTCATTATGCAAAAAAAAACTCTCTTAAAATCATGATATCATCTCAAAAGTTGGTTCATATATTTCGTAATTTCATAAAGAATCATACTATCAATTTTCATAATGATTGGTTCATTACTTTTTGAGTTAGAGTTCCCGCAAATGTGAAAAAAGTCATTTTGAGAAAAACGCGTTTGAAAAAAAAATCTTGAANGTCTTGGATGAGTTTTCTACCTTTACAATAATTTCTAGTATTTCGCATCAGATATCTAGAAGTACTAAAATTTTGTTTCAGTATGTACTCCTAGTAAATTCTACCTGTGCGCCGGGTTGATAACATTTTTTTGTCAAGAGTAACTAGTATCATGATAAAGAGCCAAGTTTATAATGTGAATAATGGTTTATGTATGACCTTCATTGTCGGAATATGATGGTGCTGTTACGGTTGGAGTTGATTTTGATTTTTTTTTTGAAGATTTTAAATGATTTTCAAAGCGCAATGGTTTATAATCGTTTATTATATTGCTCGATGGAAAGTTGAAAAATTGTATTTTATTTTTGTTTGAAAACATGTGGCGTGACGTCGAACTCGGAAAACCAGTTTGTGCGTGGACGATTGGTGCATTTTTCTGAAAAGAGGAGTTGAACGAAAGGTTTTGGGAAAGACGTTCGTTTAGAGTAAAAAGTTCTTACTTACCTTAGAAAAAGGGAATTTATTGAGCGATTATTCTATCCCAGTGTAGTGTGGTGTGTTTTTGAGTATTTTTGGTAAACATCATCACCATTCGCTTATGCGGAAGTTATAACCTTTCAAAAAAATCTGTGGAAACCGACCAACAACTAAGGTTTCAACTTATACTAGTTTTCAAGATAGTACTAGTTTCGAATTTATAAAACTACTGTTCTACTAATGTTCGAGTACTCACCGTATTTAATTAATCAGGAGCAGATTAATTGGAGATCTTCATAAGTGTTAACGTCATCGCTAGCGTGGTATCCTGGTGGACCTTGGTGGAGATCTTCTGAAAAAAAAAAAAAAAAAGAAGAAGATAAACCAGATAAGTGAATTTAACTATTTTAAATTACGAATAAACTTACCTGTGTCGAGTAAACTAAGATTGTATTCTTTAATTCGGTATTATCGTGATTGTACTTACCTTATTTGTCTATTGAATTCAACATCTGAGTTGAATAGCTTAATGATTTTTTTTTTCTTCGAAGTAGTATCATTTATTTGATTAGGAGTATTAATTGATTTTGATTTCAATAATTCAAGCTAGTAAACATTTTTTGTTTTGTTTTCTTTATTTTGTTCAAGATATCTAATTTTTTTTTATGCATTTTCTTAATGTTGTTGTGAGGGGAAACATAAGCTTATGCGGACCAGAGTTATTTATTTTTGTTATTGATTTTAAAAGGTATTTTGCATTGTTTTGGAGTTTGAAATTTCTCTCAAAAATTTCAGGCGCTCAACATTTAATAAATTTAATTCGTATTATATATTTTTTTACATCACTGTTTTATTTACTCACACCCGTCTTCACTGAATTAGCCGTAAGCACCCGCAATAGGGTTACATATACAGGGTGATTTATAACATACGGAGCAGACTAAAAGGGTAGGTACTAGGAGCCAAATTGAAGATATTTTTCTAATAAAATTTTGACCACAACTTAATAATCACAAAGATATATAACGTTAAAGTTGAAGTAATGGCCGAGCATTTCTTACCATATACGGTATTACACTACGCTTAAATTCAAACTGCGAATATTTCGGGGTTACTTAAACAATGCATAATTAATAAAAATAATAAAATCTTTATAACATAGCAGTTACGGCTATTTAAAAATTTGTTAAAACGCTCAAACGGTGGTGTTTGTTTATTGAGAACCGCTGATACCATGTTTTTATTGCTGCCAATCCAGTTGATTTGGTTACTTAGCAACGGACAAGTATTTTAATTATTCTTTACTGAATATCAGCGGTTCTCAAAAATGGACGTTAAATTATTTAAAAAATTAACATGCGATATCTATGTAACTATTAAGTTTTTAACAAAACATTATTAAGAAAATCTCTTNTTTAATTGAATCAATAAAAAATTAATAAATATTGTTTACAGAAACAATTTTGGTAATTTGATTTAAAAATAATTAAAAAGTAGGCATTGTTAAAATAAAGTAATGTTGTAGTAGGCTGTGTCCGCTATAACTAATGTTATTGTTTTATTAAAATAATTGATATTGGTGTGGATTTCTGTGTCAAAAGTGTGTTTAAACTAGTACTTAATATCTATAAATTTACTGAGTGATGGAAATAGTTACGGTAAGTATATTAAATTATTATGTATAATATCGAAGTCTATTATATTTAACAAAAAATATTTGCACTTATTTATTTTGCATTACTATGCTAACATTGTTTGCGTTTTAATTAATTTGAATGTAATTACGAATTTGAAGGTAGAGGTGCTGAAGGATATAAGCCATCTGCAACCTGTTGAAAATATTATAATTGAGGATTTAAGAGATGTTCAAATGTTGGAGCTAGATGCACGAAAAGACGAAGAATGTGTTAACAATGATTTTAATGATGATGACTACGAACCTAAAAAGGAAAATGGTACATCAGATAGCGACGAAGAGCAAGGAAATAATGCTGAAAAAGATGAAAAAACAAAACAGGATGAGACATTAACAGAAAATGATATCAATCATGGCAATATAACGGAAGGAAGGAAAAGAAGTATTACTGCTCAACCTGATAAGTTGGCAAAAAATTCTGCAAAAAGGAACCGAATGGAAGGAAAAGCGTACATGGGGTACAGCAGAACTAAAGAAGGTAAAGTAAAACAGAATGTCCCAAAAGAAGCAAGAAAAATGGGTTCTTCTTGCAAATCAAAAGAGTGCCTTAGAGTAAAATCCAGGAATTGTTAAGAAATTAATGACGTTCAGCGCAATGCCATATTTACTAAATTCTGGAGTGAACTGAATTGGGATCAACGAAAAGTGTTTGTAATCAATCACATAGAAAAAACTGTCACAAAAAGAACGTATACTAAAAGCTTTGAGAGTAGGCGAAAATATTTCTCACAATAAATATGAACAAAGTGCAAGTTTGTAAACAAATGTTTCTTCAAACACTTGCTATAGGTGAATATTCCGTTCATGATTGGGTCCAAAAGGGATGTTACGGTATGACTTCTAGCTTCGATTTGACCTACAAATCAAACAAACGAACCACTCGACAGGACAAGGTGGAAGATAAGAAGTTACTAAAAGAATTTTTTGATTGTTTACCAAAGTTGCCTTCACATTATGGACGTTCAAATTCAAGTAAATTGTATTTAGAAACGGTAATCCGGAGCCTAAATCAATTATTTAAGTTATACGAAATTAAGTGCAAAGAAGAAAACAAAGTAACCCTGTCGAGAACAATTTTTAGCAAAATGTTTTATTCTATGAACTTGTCAATTCACCCCATTAAAAAGGATAAATGTGATTTGTGCACAAAACATGAAGTTGGTCAATTATCAGACAAAGAATGGAATACGCACAGACGTAAAAAAGAAAGGGCTCGTGAAGAAAAAAAGAGAGATAAGGAAGAAGCAAAAATGAACAAAAAAGGTCGGGTTTTAACAATGGATTTACAAGCTGTAAAAGTGTGTCCGTATGTCCAAGCCAGCACAATATTTTTTAAGTTAAAACTGTGTTGCCACAATTTTACAGTTTATAATGTAGTAACGCATGAGGCAAAGTGTTTTTGGTTTAGTGAAACTGAAGCAGATATGACTGCATCGACTTTTGCTTCTTGCATTATGGAATACCTAACAACAGACTGTCAGAATGAATCTGGACCAATTATAATTTACAGTGATGGATGTACTTACCAAAATAGAAATAATATTATAGCAAATGCATTATTAAACTATTCTGTAAATAATAACATAGAAATTATTCAAAAATTTCTCGAAGTTGGACACACACAAATGGAATGCGACTCAGTTCACAGCTGCATCGAAAGGAAATTAAAAGGACGAGACATTCATTTACCTAGTGATTATCTACGAATAACAAAGGAAGCAAGAATGAAGCCCTTTCCATATGAAGTTAAATGTATGCAATATTTTAATTTTAAAGATTACTCAATCAAGAAATATCAAAGATATGCATCTATTAGACCTGGAAAGGTAAAAATTAGTAATACTATGAAACATTCTTTATAACTGCCTGTCATTTTCCCTTTAAGGTCACAAATGATCCTGTGGTCACCGATATTAGAGCTCTCCAATATTTGCCGAATGGAAACATTTATTACAAATTGGATTTTGATGATGAATGGCGAGAACTTCCACAACGACAAAACCCTGTTTCTCAAATGGTAGAATGGCCACAAATGTATAAAGAGAAACGAAAAATAAAATTTCAAAAATGGCAACATTTGCAGCTGTTAAAGTCAGTAATACCTACTGACTGTCATAGTTTTTATGACAGCTTAAAACATGATTCAAAGTAAAATTTTTTAGAGAATTTATTGATTCGTAATAAAAGTAGTTTTTCCTAAATAGTGTTTTATTTCTGTAAAAATAATATAATATATCCTAACCCACAAATTTGACAAAAATCTAAAGCTAATCACTCGTAAGCCACTGCAAATTTTAATATACAATATTTACTAAAAAATTTAAAATCATATGTTTGTATCTAAGCCCTTGTGTAACTGACAGTTTCAAAACAAACAAACAAATACTTTCCCAGTTTAATATAAAACGTCTTTTATGTCTACTGAAAAAAAATGCTTTTAGGGTTACAAGGTATTAGAACTTCACAGACGATATATTTTTTTTGTGTCAACCTAAACATCTTTCCAGTAATTCATCCCTTGATAAATCTTCATATATATGCAGAATTTCCTGCTGTATGTCGGGATGCAATGGAGTAGGATGCGGTGCAAGCTCCATACCAAGAGCTGTTCGTTTCTGCCACACGCACCAGCTGTCTTCTCCCTAAGGGCAACACTCGTTCGCGGATTTTCATCGGTGGATATCATATGATAGTATGTCGCCATAATCGCTGTTTTCATATTTTCTACACTATCGATGTATGTCTTCGAATCGCTAGTCCATAGTAAGTGCTAAGCTTTTTCGCTAATGATATCACAAGTAAATCACGCGTGAGTCACCTGATTCATATGTTCACGTAAGTGGTATGCGTGACCCGCGTGGTATAGATCGTGAGCGGGCATAAAAAATCACTAACACGCACATCTCTAGCATAGGCTACGGCAGACCGCTCGGTTCCATGCTCATAAAATCTAAAGGAATGCGAATTTCGGGTTGTAATTTTGACATCGTATTCTTGGATAGTTAAGCTAACAATTTATGCAATAAAAAAAAATCGATTTTTTGAACCTTCTAATGTGGTTTCCCCCCTTAAATTATATTTCACAATTTACATCAGATATTAGATACATTAAGGGAGAAACTAACATAGTAGCTGATACTCTATCACGTTTAGATATTGATGTCATTAACTCACCTTATCATAATCTTGAAACTTTAAAAATAACTCAAGACAGCGATTCTGAGCTTAAACATCTTTTACAAAAACATCTTAAAGCAAAATTTATTTTAGCAAAACAACAAATTTCTTCCTCCAATTTAAAACTTTGGTGCGAAATTTCTTCTTCCCTATCACGTATTTATGTTCCCGTCAAATCGAAAACAATCTTTTCTAATTTTCACAACATTTCACATCCGAGAGTACGCGATACACAAAAGCCTGGCCAAGAATGAATACTCATTTATATCATTGGACAAAATCTTGCATTAATTGTCAACTTTCTAGAGTAAATAAACATGCTAGAACACCTATAGGAGAATTTAGTATTCCAAAAGGCCGTTTCGAACATATTCATATTGATCTCGTTGGGCCTCTTGCTCCATCTGACGGAAGTACATTTATTCTTACTGTTATTGAGCGCTTTACAAGATGGACTGAAGCTTTTCCTGTTTCCAATATAACGACAACCACGATTGCTAATGTTCTTTTTACTCATTATTTCTCGAGATTTGGTATCCCTCATGCTATTAAGCATGATCAAGGCACTCAATTTGAATCGAAACTCTTCAATGAATTCAATAAATTTTTCGGTTCAAACCAAATTCATACATCTACCTATCATCCCCAAAGCAACGGTATTCTGGAGAGATTTCACAGATCTTTAAAAACTGCTCTTATTGCAAGAGGTAATACAGATCGCTGGAAACACGAACTTCCACTAGTTCTTTTAGGCCTCCGTTTCTGCCTAAAAGAAAATCTTGGCTGTTCATCTGCAGAACTAATTTATGGTCAACATCTACATCTTCCAGGTGAATGTTTTACAAAAACTTATAACGCCATTGACACTTTTCCTTTATTAATTTCTTTACGCTTCTTTAATTTCTTCTTATAACTTTTTCAAATCTGCGACCTACGACAACTGTTCATCATTGTTCTCCGAAACCATTTGTTCATAAAGAATTATTTTTGTCCGATTATGTGTTCCTTCGAGTAGAAAACAAAAAGACAAGTTTATCACCAAAATAAGAAGGACCATTCAAAGTCATTAGAAAATTTTCAAATAATTTCGTCATTTCACGATTTAATAGAAATCAAACAATAAATATTACTCGTTTGAAACCAGCTTTTATTTTTAAAAACTTCCTGAACCAAGTCCAGATCAAGTTTACGATTTATCAGTGATAAGTAGTACAAATTGTTGTGCGTGGCATTCATAATTCTGGTCGAAATTTCACGATAGACAATTTCTTCACTAGTGTTCCGCTAGCAACTTATCTGTTGGATAAAAATATGTAATGGAAAGTAAAGTATTTGTAGTTGGCGAATATTGCACAATAATTAATCAAGTCAATAAACTCAAAAAACGCACGAGTAGGCATACTTGTGCGAGGAGTGCGATATTCGCCAATTCAACAAATAAATTGTGATTGTTATATTGGTAATTAGAAGTAAGCTAAACTTAGACCTGTAATGTAGTCGTCGTAAGAATAAATAAAGAAAGTAAAGAAAAAAGTTATTTTAAATAAATTACACTCCAAACCCATAAAGAAATCATACAGAAATGAAAAGAAGAGTTTAAACATTACAGTTGGTACACTACGTCAGAATAAGCGTGACATTCAGAAAGAAATGAAAGCCTCAAAAGATCGTGTAGTCTACTCTTCTTGTTTTGTTTTCAAAATAACGTATCCATGATAAGTTACGCACGCACAAAGAACAAATGCGTAATTTTACTAAGCACCATGCACCACGACGTATCAATGACGACGCTAAGAGGAAGCCTGAAATCATCTCTCATTATAATAAAACAAAGGTCGGTGTTGACATCATGGATCAAATGGTGTGGACATACACGTGCAAGAGGCAAAGTAAACGATGGTCCATGACATTTTTCTTCAACATCATTGATATTGCAGCACTCAATGCATATATAGTCTTTACGAAAGAACATACAAACTACAACATAGGAGTGACTCACAAACGCAGAATGTTTCTGAAAGATTTAGCTAAGGAACTAGTAATACCACATATGCAGAGAAGACCTACTAACCCTGGCTTGTACGGGCCTTTAAGGCTCGCCTTTAGTCGAGTAGCGAGTAATTTAGTAACTCGCTACATGCGGACAGTACTATTTAGTCGAGTAGTTTATTAAAACGATTTATTCGAGTAGATCCATTTGATTCTATTTTTTCGGTCGAGTAGCGCACCCCCACTACTCACAACTGCCACTAAACACGTGCGAACGCATAAATTTAGTTTAGTGAATTAGCAATTGTATTGCGCGCGATGACGTTGTCTGTTCATCTTGAGTACCACTAAAGTGTCTTGAGCGTATTAAATGTGGACAGTTGCAATCTACTAAACGTTCCAGTGGTAAATGGCTACTCGACTAAATTACTAAACGTGTCTGTACGGGCTTTAACCTACGGCGTACTGTCCGGGAGTGTATGAGCAGATTTATTGATATATGTGGTCCGCCAGCCGCTCACACAAGTGCAACAATTAAGAGAAAAAGATGCTCAGTATGTCCCGTAAGTATTGATCGTAAAAGCACAATGATATGTATTACTTGTAAAAATAATATCTGTAATAAGCATAGTATTAGAATGTGCACTAAATGCTTCTCTAATCCCTAAAAACAATAAACAATAATGTTTTTTTAACAATAATGTTCGCTTTCATATTTAACCTCACGTTTGTAACGTACATATATATAAATAAATAAAGTTTTACTTTACTAACTTTGTTTCTGTTCTGACTACACGTGATTTTATATAACGGGTCTCAGAAGCCCGGATTATGTAAATGACGATATTTTATTGGTTAAGTATACTAGGGTTAAAAAAGCTATTTTGAAAGTGTCCAATTCTCCGGAAAAAGTATTACTTTTTGTATCTGATGCTGCAGCTGTGATGCTCAAAACTCATTAACATTACATTTAACATGTTTAGCCCACGGATTACATCGGATTTGTGAATTTATTAGGGAAACATAACCGACGTTAATGTCTTAATTAACAATGTTAAAAAAGTTTTACTTAAAGCACCATTTCGAGTGCAAACAAAACACCGGTTGTTATCTCGATGTTTGTTTGTAAAGCTTATTATTATTATTATTGTTCTGTAATGAATTCTTTATACTACTTACAACTCTCTGTATTTACAAATTACCTGTGATGTGTGTCGGACAAACTTCATTATCGTTTAGATATGTGTAGGGCAACAAATGGGACCACATTGAACTAAACAGAACAAGTATGAAACTAGAAAGGAAAACTCTCTTCTCATTTGGTGAACATTTCACATTTTTATCTTACTTTGTTGCTTTCCTGTGACTAGTCAAAAGTGCACCATGTCAGATTTACATCCACATCGACTATAGACTTGCACATTCTCTTAGTGAAATCTGTGACTGAGGAATTTCTTCGGCATAAATAAACTTTTCATTACATATTGTAACTTGGTTCCCATAATAAAGTTGATTTAAGATTCCATGTTTCGTGCCTAATTTATAAAGATTGGCATCTGTTATTTCAAGAACAAATGCCAAAATATTTGTTTCATCGGTGTGACTTCTGTCGACATCTAGGGCTCGAACTCTAACTGTGTCACCCTTTTTAGCGGCACTGTATTTTGAATGAGAGGTTTGAAGCATTTTTCACCTAATTTTTTTACATTGCTTGCTGAAATCTCCCTAATTTTTAATATATCGGCTTTTCTTTTTTTCACGTTGGGATGCTCTGAGGAATCTTCATAACCTTCATACGCGCGTTTTTCTTTACCGGAGACTTGAATATCAGATGGCTCGGAGACATTTATTTCTCTTTCGTTGTTATCGAAATCAGAACTTGGTTCAGATAACAGTGAAGGTTGAACATAACTATCAATAGAAGA